AGTTACTAGTTAGTTACTAGTTTAGTTACTAGTTAGTAACTAGTTTAGTAACTAGTTTAGTTACTAGTTTAGTTACTAGTTTAGTTACTAGTTTAGTTACTAGTTTAGTTACTAGTTAGTTACTAGTTAGTCACTAGTTAGTTACTAGTTTAGTTACTAGTTAGTCACTAGTTAGTTACTAGTTTAGTCACTAGTTAGTTACTAGTTTAGTTACTAGTTTAGTTACTAGTTTAGTTACTAGTTTAGTTACTAGTTTAGTTGCTAGTTTAGTTATTAGTTTAGTTACTAGTATAGTTACTAGTTAGTCACTAGTTTAGTTACTAGTTAGTTACTAGTTAGTCACTAGTTAGTTACTAGTTTAGTAACTAGTTAGTTACTAGTTAGTTACTAGTTTAGTCACTAGTTAGTTACTAGTTTAGTTACTAGTTTAGTTACTAGTTTAGTTACTAGTTTAGTTACTAGTTTAGTTACTAGTTTAGTTACTAGTTAGTCACTAGTTAGTTACTAGTTTAGTCACTAGTTAGTTACTAGTTTAGTAACTAGTATAGTTACTAGTTAGTTACTAGTTTAGTTACTAGTTAGTAACTAGTTTAGTAACTAGTTTAGTTACTAGTTTAGTTACTAGTTTAGTTACTAGTTTGGTTACTAGTTTAGTTACTAGTTTAGTTACTAGTTAGTTACTAGTTAGTCACTAGTTAGTTACTAGTTTAGTTACTAGTTAGTCACTAGTTAGTTACTAGTTTAGTCACTAGTTAGTTACTAGTTTAGTTACTAGTTTAGTTACTAGTTTAGTTACTAGTTTAGTTACTAGTTTAGTTACTAGTTTAGTTACTAGTTGGTTACTAGTTAGTCACTAGTTAGTTACTAGTTTAGTTACTAGTTAGTCACTAGTTAGTTACTAGTTTAGTCACTAGTTAGTTACTAGTTTAGTTACTAGTTTAGTTACTAGTTTAGTTACTAGTTTAGTTACTAATTTAGTTGCTAGTTTAGTTACTAGTTTAGTTCCTAGTATAGTTACTAGTTAGTCACTAGTTAGTCACTAGTTAGTAACTAGTTTAGTTACTAGTTAGTTACTAGTTTAGTTACTAGTTAGTTACTAGTTTAGTTACTAGTTTAGTTACTAGTTAGTCACTAGTTAGTTACTAGTTTAGTCACTAGTTAGTTACTAGTTTAGTTACTAGTTTAGTTACTAGTTTAGTTACTAGTTTAGTTACTAGTTTAGTTACTAGTTTAGTTACTAGTTTAGTTGCTAGTTTAGTTACTAGTTTAGTTACTAGTATAGTTACTAGTTAGTCACTAGTTAGTCACTAGTTAGTAACTAGTTTAGTTACTAGTTAGTTACTAGTTAGTCACTAGTTTAGTAACTAGTTAGTTACTAGTTAGTTACTAGTTTAGTCACTAGTTAGTTACTAGTTTAGTTACTAGTTTAGTTACTAGTTTAGTTACTAGTTTAGTTACTAGTTTAGTTACTAATTTAGTTACTAGTTTAGTAACTAGTATAGTTACTAGTTAGTTACTAGTTTAGTTACTAGTTAGTAACTAGTTTAGTAACTAGTTTAGTTACTAGTTTAGTTACTAGTTTAGTTACTAGTTTAGTTACTAGTTAGTTACTAGTTAGTCACTAGTTAGTTACTAGTTTAGTTACTAGTTAGTCACTAGTTAGTTACTAGTTTAGTCACTAGTTAGTTACTAGTTTAGTTACTAGTTTAGTTACTAGTTTAATTACTAGTTTAGTTACTAGTTTAGTTACTAGTTAGTTACTAGTTAGTCACTAGTTAGTTACTAGTTTAGTTACTAGTTAGTCACTAGTTAGTTACTAGTTTAGTCACTAGTTAGTTACTAGTTTAGTTACTAGTTTAGTTACTAGTATAGTTACTAGTTAGTCACTAGTTAGTCACTAGTTAGTAACTAGTTTAGTTACTAGTTAGTTACTAGTTTAGTTACTAGTTTAGTTACTAGTTAGTTACTAGTTAGTCACTAGTTAGTTACTAGTTTAGTTACTAGTTAGTCACTAGTTAGTTACTAGTTTAGTCACTAGTAAGTTACTAGTTTAGTCACTAGTTAGTTACTAGTTTAGTTACTAGTTTAGTTACTAGTTTAGTTACTAGTTAGTTACTAGTTAATCACTAGTTAGTTACTAGTTTAGTTACTAGTTTAGTTACTAGTTTAGTTACTAGTTTAGTTGCTAGTTTAGTTACTAGTTTAGTTGCTAGTATAGTTACTAGTTAGTCACTAGTTAGTCACTAGTTAGTAACTAGTTTAGTTACTAGTTAGTTACTAGTTAGTCACTAGTTAGTTACTAGTTTAGTAACTAGTTAGTTACTAGTTAGTTACTAGTTTAGTCACTAGTTAGTTACTAGTTTAGTTACTAGTTTAGTTACTAGTTTAGTTACTAGTTTAGTTACTAGTTTAGTTACTAGTTAGTCACTTGTTAGTTACTAGTTTAGTCACTAGTTAGTTACTAGTTTAGTTACTAGTTTAGTTACTAGTTTAGTTACTAGTTTAGTTACTAGTTAGTTACTAGTTAGTCACTAGTTAGTTACTAGTTTAGTTACTAGTTAATCACTAGTTAGTCACTAGTTAGTAACTAGTTTAGTTACTAGTTAGTTACTAGTTAGTCACTAGTTAGTTACTAGTTTAGTAACTAGTTAGTTACTAGTTAGTTACTAGTAGTTACTAGTTCACTAGTTAGTTACTAGTTTAGTTACTAGTTTAGTTACTAGTTTAGTTACTAGTTTAGTTACTAGTTAGTCACTTGTTAGTTACTAGTTTAGTCACTAGTTAGTTACTAGTTTAGTTACTAGTTTAGTTACTAGTTTAGTTACTAGTTAGTTACTAGTTAGTCACTAGTTAGTTACTAGTTTAGATACTAGTTAGTCACTAGTTAGTTACTAGTTTAGTTACTAGTTTAGTTACTAGTTTAGTTGCTAGTTTAGTTACTAGTTTAGTTGCTAGTATAGTTACTAGTTAGTCACTAGTTAGTCACTAGTTAGTAACTAGTTTAGTTACTAGTTAGTTACTAGTTAGTCACTAGTTAGTTACTAGTTTAGTAACTAGTTAGTTACTAGTTAGTTACTAGTTTAGTCACTAGTTAGTTACTAGTTTAGTTACTAGTTTAGTTACTAGTTTAGTTACTAGTTTAGTTACTAGTTTAGTTACTAGTTAGTCACTAGTTAGTTACTAGTTTAGTCACTAGTTAGTTACTAGTTTAGTTACTAGTTTAGTTACTAGTTTAGTTACTAGTTTAGTTACTAGTTAGTTACTAGTTAGTCACTAGTTAGTTACTAGTTTAGTTACTAGTTAATCTAGTTAGTCACTAGTTAGTAACTAGTTTAGTTACTAGTTAGTTACTAGTTAGTCACTAGTTAGTTACTAGTTTAGTAACTAGTTAGTTACTAGTTAGTTACTAGTTTAGTCACTAGTTAGTTACTAGTTTAGTTACTAGTTTAGTTACTAGTTTAGTTACTAGTTTAGTTACTAGTTAGTCACTTGTTAGTTACTAGTTTAGTCACTAGTTAGTTACTAGTTTAGTTACTAGTTTAGTTACTAGTTTAGTTACTAGTTAGTTACTAGTTAGTCACTAGTTAGTTACTAGTTTAGATACTAGTTAGTCACTAGTTAGTTACTAGTTTAGTCACTAGTTAGTTACTAGTTTAGTTACTAGTTTAGTTACTAGTTTAGTTACTAGTTTAGTTACTAGTTTAGTTGCTAGTTTAGTTACTAGTTTAGTTACTAGTATGATTTTGTTGGGTGGTGTGTATTTGCGAATAGAGCTCAAACTTCGCATCTGAATTAGTGAACAAGCATATCGGAAAAATCAAGGCACTGGGGACTGGACCGGGAATTGAAACCGGGACCTCCAGCTATCCGGACTGGTGTTATGACCGCTAAACTACCCAGGCCCTAGATACCCTGAAATTTCCAACGGCTTTGTTCACGTAATCATAGCTATTATTATCATTACTCTACTCATTGCATTCCACACATCAGGTATAGACTGTTACATGTTATCAATTTTTATACTGGGGGGGGGAGTTGAGTGCAAGTATTATAGAATACTCGTGTATCTGTACACATATGGTACACACTTAAGCACTTCACTCCAAGGGTAGTCTAAATATTTAGACTACCCTTGGAGTGAAGTGCTTAAGTGTGTACCATATGTGTACAGATACACGAGTATTCTATAATACTTGCACTCAACTCCCCCCCCCCAGTATAAAAATTAGTTACTAGTATAGTTACTAGTTAGTCACTAGTTAGTCACTAGTTAGTAACTAGTTTAGTTACTAGTATAGTTACTAGTTAGTCACTAGTTAGTCACTAGTTAGTAACTAGTTTAGTTACTAGTTAGTTACTAGTTAGTCACTAGTTAGTTACTAGTTTAGTAACTAGTTAGTTACTAGTTTAGTTATTAGTTAGTTACTAGTTTAGTAACTAGTTAGTTACTAGTTTAGTTACTAGTATAGTTACTAGTTTAGTTACTAGTATAGTTACTAGTTTAGTTACTAGTTTAGTAACCAGTTTAGTTACTAGTTTAGTTACTAGTTTAGTAACTAGTTAGTTACTAGTTAGTTACTAGTTAGTTACTAGTTAGTTACTAGTTTAGTCACTAGTTAGTTACTAGTTTAGTTACTAGTTTAGTTACTAGTTTAGTTACTAGTTTAGTTGCTAGTTTAGTTACTAGTTTAGTTACTAGTTTAGTTACTAGTTTAGTTACTAGTTTGATTACTAGTTTAGTTACTAGTTTAGTTGCTAGTTTAGTTACTAGTTTAGTTACTAGTTTAGTTACTAGTTTAGTTACTACTTACTAGTTTAGTTACTAGTTTGATTACTAGTTTAGTTACTAGTTTAGTTACTAGTTAGTTACTAGTTTAGTTACTAGTATAGTTACTAGTTAGTTACTAGTTTAGTTACTAGTTTAGTTACTAGTTTAGTAACTAGTTTAGTTACTAGTTAGTTAGTTAGTTTAGTTTAGTTTACAAATAACTTATATTCAGGAGGGGGCGACTGATAAACACAGACATGATTTCTATGGGGAGGCCGCACTCCTCGGACAATTCCGACACGCCAATGTTATAGCTCTTCACGGAGTCATTTTAAGAGGTTTTCTCTTTCACCTTTTGATTTTCAGTTTTGTATTGCAACTAACCAAACATATCAAGTCAAGATTATAATGAAGCTGACAATATTTAAATATCCAGATACCTCACCGTGGATAGTAATAGAGTACGCAGAGAATGGAGCTCTGAAGGGATTTGTGAAGAAACACGGAGAAAACCGCCACAGTAACCAACTCCTCAACTACTGTAGGGATATTGTTAGAGGGATGAAGTACCTATCAGAGAGAGGTTACATCCACCGAGTAAGTTATTTTATATCTATCAGAGAGAGGTTACATCCACCGAGTAAGTTATTTTATATAACTAACTCGATGAACTGTGTAAGATAACCCCGTCATTATTTTATAATATCTCTTATTTTTTACGTCTTGAGTTTCGATATAATGCTGTTTTACCAATCTTTCCTACTCAATCTCAGGATTTGGCTGCCCGCAACGTACTTCTCACTAGAATGGAAGTTTGTAAGATTGCTGACTTCGGTTTATCTAGAAAGTTGGGCGATGACGATGAAATTTATGTTTCAAAGGTAATAATTTGCTTTTTCTTGAACATTTGTTAGATACAGTTTAAGAGGGGAATCAAACTGTATATACTATATACTATACTGTACAGGTTAAGATTCCATCAAAGTAACATGCGTTGAGGCGATGTATTCTCAATATTTGTGGCACGCCCCTGCGTTGAGGCGATGTATTCTCAATACTTGTGGCACGCTCCCATTTCTTGCCCCCATCTATGTATGTGTTTAGTAATTATAACGAGAACAGCAGTTTCTATGAGGGAATATATCGTATTAAGTTATCCATCTTAAGACGGTTTATGGGTTTTACTGTTTTACTAATATTATCGGACAGCTTGCCCCCATTTGTGGCACGGTTGCATACACATCATTAAATGATCACAGTAGCTCCCTAAGCTATGAAGGTAGACCAATAATATTATAACGCAAAGTCAACCATCTTTAAAAATTGGCTAAGGGGGCCGGGGGTCTTCATCCAAACTCCCCTCTATCAGAAACAATTATAAAGTTATTTTCGAGATAATTTTGATGAAGACCCCCGGCCCCCTTAATTGAGTAATTATTAACGCTGCTGATAACTCGATAGTTGATTCCAGTCATAGTTGTTATTATATACAAAGACCGTGCCACAAAAATTGAGAATACAAACTTTGCATGTGTTTGGGTACAAGTATGCTAGGCTGACAGCGGGCGACTAACCTTTCATTTATGGTCACAACGGCGCGATATGTTGCTTCAACCAGCGCGCTACTTTGCGCGCAACAGAAAGCTGTATTATATAACGAACACTACTTCATTGGGACAGCACAACGAACTATAAAAAAAAGACCGTATAGTATATATAGACCGTATAGTATATATAGTAAGTAGGGAGAATGGAGTCGACGGCATTTAATACTGCTACCGTTTTGGCTAAACCATTCTTTCTGCAGTTACATGACATGACCGGATATTATTACAGGGAGGAATGGTGGCGATTAAGTGGACTGCTCCGGAGGGAGTGTTGGGAGCAAGCTACTCGAGCGCCAGTGACGTCTGGAGTTGTGCTATCACCATGTGGGAGGTTTTCTCGGACGGGGCTAATCCGTGGTCCGGGCAATCTAACGAGGACGCCTTTAGGAGAATCCGGAAGGGTGGCAGACTCGCTAAACCGGAGGTACTTTCGCTAACCAAGTATATTATTTCAACATTTAGTTTATAAGTGAGGACCAGTGTAACCCCGGCCCTGTTTCACGGTTATTTATGACTGAAACTGTTTCAGAAATGTCCACTAGACATCTACAAGACCATGCTCAAGTGCTGGGAAGCTAACCCGCTGGAGAGACCGACCTTCGCTGAGTTGGACAGACTACTGTACGACCCTAGCACGGACAATGTCGGACAACCTCTGTATGAGAATACGGAGGGGTTTGTACAGTACGTGAACTTACAGTATGAAAATATGCAGGATGTTCAAGGAACATGAACATTTCGTAAATGTGTAATAATTGTCGTTCCAAGGTTGGTTTTATTAAGGTTTACCCGCCTTGTATTAATGCATGAGCTGAATTAGTTGTTATAAGCACTAGGTGATTTAATATTTTTCGTCAGACAGATGCATTTTAGCTTTTTACGTTAGAAAATTGTTTTGGAGTACATTTCAGCAGTTTTTGTTTGTTTGAGCAGTTTCAGGTGTTGAATGTTTAATATTCATATTTCACAATAAATTTGATTGTTAATAAATAATAGGCGAAACTTTCAATTTGTAAACATAAAAGTGAAAAATGAACATTCAAATAGTAAACTTAGCCAACTGAAAAATTGAAACTTTGGCCCAGAAGATTCCGATTGGATAGTTAAAAGGAGTAATATAGGACAATATCAATATGTCCATATTCAGTGGTCGGAGTTCAACAATCAACAAGGCCCTGTGATAGATAATGAGAGTAGCTTGGTCCGGGGCATCAGGATTTTATCTTACTCTTCAGTTCATGCTTCTGAAATAATATGATGGTTGAATGGTATAGCGGAGTAACAAGTAAGCAACCAGCTGAATTAAGTTGACTTCGTTCAGCTTCAAACTAACTGGCCTATGCGCGCTTATAATGCTGACAATAGCTTGGCGCGTATAACAGCTTACAAATTTGTGAAGACCGTTTGAAGCAATATTCGCTTAATCAAAATTTATACTGTGCATCACTAATTTGACTTCGAACTAATCATTGAAATCGCAGCGATCAGGTCGCATAGAACACTTCACCTTTATAACTAGAAAAGGACTTGAATGTGGTGGAGGTTCACGAAAAATTTGATTCAAATATGAAATAATAGGAGTGAGTTTGTGCAAACTTGAATTATCAAAATGTTGTTATAAGGTGAATAGAAAGTTGGGCCCGTAATGTTAATGAAAACCACCAATACTACATCTTAAGTTGTAGAACCACAAAAACTCACCTCTTTACTGTGTATAATAGTGCTAATTTCACCATGATTATAATAGTGCCGTTGGCAAATTTCTGCAAATGCATCGGAGTGATGCATTTCCTAACCCTGTCAGCGAATAAACTATCCCTCGCGGGACCGTTCAAGTAAGTCAGTTTGATACAGTTTATTCCGTAAAATTTTGGAAATTTACAGTATATTGTAAAACAGAAACTCCATAGAAGAGTTATATTACCTGGATCTAGAACGAGACCTTGAGCGAGATCTGGAGCGAGATTTGGAGCGAGATTTAGAGCGAGATTTAGAGCGAGATTTGAACTTTGATCTGGATCTTTCCTCCATCTTTTCATCTGTCTCCTGGTCCTTAGATGTAGAGGGGCTGCGTTCAGCACTTTTGGGTCTCGACTTAGACCTGGACTTAGATTTTGATCTGGATTTCGACTTGGATTTTGCATCTTGGTGCTCTGCAGACTTGGATCGTCGTTCAGCGGACTTCTTTTCTCGGGACCTCGATCGAGACTTCCTATCACGTGAACGTGAACCAGATTTAGACTTTCTCTCTCTAGACTTTGAACGGGACTTGGACCCTGATCTGCGTCGTTTGCTCTTCCTTTCCTTGGAGCGAGATCTCCGGTCCCTAGACCTCCTCTTCTTGTCCCTAGAACGGGATGTTCTTTTCTTATCCTGGGATTTGGAGCGAGAACGGGACTTGGAGCCCGACTTGGAGCGGGAACGGGAGCGAGATCTTGAGCGGCTGCCTGAGCGCGAGCGACTCGAACTGAAATGTACTTTGTTAGGAGTAATCTTAACACTCCTGACATAAATAACGCTATACTACTACGAGTAAACAATACATGTACCGGTCACAGTTCTAGAAAGCAACGCCTCTTACCTGTACCGGTCACAGTACTAGAAAGCAACACCTCTTACCTGTACCGGTCACAGTACTAGAAAGCAACACCTCTTACCTGTACCGGTCACATAGTACTAGAAAACAACAACTCTTACCTGTACCGGTCACAAAGTACTGGAAAGCAACACCTCTTACCTGTACCGGTCACAGTACTAGAAAGCAACACCTCTTACCTGTACCGGTCACATAGTACTGGAAAGCAACACCTCTTACCTGTACCGGTCACATAGTACTAGAAAACAACACCTCTTACCTGTACCGGTCACATAGTACTAGAAAGCAACACCTCTTACCTGTACCGGTCACATAGTACTAGAAAACAACAACTCTTACCTGTACCGGTCACATAGTACTAGAAAGCAACACCTCTTACCTGTACCGGTCACATAGTACTAGAAAACAACAACTCTTACCTGTACCGGTCACATAGTACTGGAAAGCAACACCTCTTACCTGTACCGGTCACATAGTACTGGAAAGCAACACCTCTTACCTGTACCGGTCACATAGTATTAGAAAGCAACACCTGGTTACTATGGTGGTTACCATGGTAACTCTTACCTGGAACGACGGCGAGACCTGGAGCCTGAGCGGGATCGTGACCAACCAGTTCTAGATCTGGGAGAGGAGTTGTTACAGATGAGTTACAGTAACTAGTAGTTACGTTTACTAATTATTACTACAATCGCCAAGTCATGCAGTGACAACTTCAACCAAGCAACAGCTGATTAAATAATTCATAATTTCAATTGCATGATCCAAACATTCTACCCATACATAGATATATATTAAACAATTTTGGAGAGAATTGGGAGGACTTATTCCCTAGAACCACCCAAAGGAGAAGCCAAATGTCATATAGTGTCCCTCATGTATCCACCGAACATAGAATCTGAATCTCTGCTTTATTATTATATATTATGATTATTTCATCACTTTTGCCTCTTCAATCTGAGAGTCTCCGGTAGAAATAAAATGCTTCGTGCTGCTCGTTTCCTCTGATCTGTGTCTGCTCAGCTTCCGTTCTCATCAGCTCCTTGTCCACCGTTCAACCAAACTCAGGAAGAAGACAAATAAACAACACTCCCTCGAGGGAGAATATGCAGACGGGCAGTGACTTACCTTCTTAGTACGCAGCCCCCATGTGAGACCTATATTACAACTGTGTGTTCTCTCACTCAAAACATTACTATTGTGTCACGTGTCACTGTGTGTTTGCCCACGTGTCACTGTGTGTTTGCCCACGTGTCACTGTGTTTGCTCTCTCTGTGTCTCAGTGCACGACCGCCCTCATTTGTAACACACCTCTATTTAGAAAGAGGGGTTGGTTTTATTTCTCAACAGACGTAACTTTCATAATTAAGACAGCAGAAATTGTATTCACATTTGATTCATATTTCAGTAACAGTGCAACTGTAGACCTGTCACAGATTTAGAAAATGCACGTGAAATTGTAAGGGAACTGTGGATAGAAGACGTGTGTTCCAGCAGTGTAAACCGCATGTTTTCTTGTGCTAATGCTGTAGGTTGAGGATTGTCACAACACCACCAGTCTCGTAGCTCTCATCACCATCAGCCGCTTATTGCTGCACAGTTAATTGGTTAATAAACGGTTAATTAATTCACGAATAGTGGAACTTACCCCCTGCAATCCCGAGCGAAGTGACCATAGCGGTTACAAGCGAAACATCTGTCGTCGGGTCCGGCTCTACCTCTACCTCGGAACCCGCCGCCTCCACCTCCACCTCCTCCACCACCACCACCACCACCACCGCCGCCACCTGTCGGTGAAAGTTAATTCTAGTTGATGCAGGTACTGTTGAAGATATAAGAACTAAGACGCAAACTTGTTGGTCGAGATCTAGTACGTAAAGTGTTTCGCTCAGAGAGACAGCGAACCGTTTCTGAACGATCAGAATCTGTTGTCAAAGTGACCTTAATAATAAGTAGAAAGTATAGGGAAATTTCTATACAAAGAGTATGTTCTTAATCCGCAGTAGTCCCATTACCTTAGTATTGCTGTACAACTACTACAGAAGTAATCCCGATAACACTCGACCTCTGCCTGATCCAGAGGATGTCACCATTTTACCTTCACACAGACATCCAACGCTGTAAGAAGTTAGAAGATGACGATCAGACCTTGTTATTGATGATCCCGCTCGTCGGAAAAGATAAAGGCCTTACTCAGCAATGGATAGGGTTTGCAGTTTAGATAGCCATGTGGCACGCTGCAACTAAATTATTCGAGATTCTTCTCGAATAATTTTCAAGACTTTATCGTCAATTCATTATCGGAGAAAAATACGATTTATAAAGGAGCAACCTTACATTCTACCTACTACTCATTTCTCAAGGCATTTAGGAGCTGTGCTGGGGACGCCTGAATTCAAGGATACCTACATTAACAACCTTGTAGTTGAGTGGAGTGATATGCTAAAAAAGTTAGTACAGTTTGCCAAATCACAGCCTCAGGCAGCCTACGCTTGTTTTACGCACGGTGTCCGCCACAAATTTACATATTTTATGAGGACACTAGATATCAGCTCTTATATGGGCCCTCTTGACAGAATAATCACTCATGAGCTTATTCCAACTATATTTGGTTGTCCAGTATCTCATATACACCGAGAGCTTATGTCATTACCATTAAAGAACGGAGGTATGGGAATGCCACAATTGGAGTATCTAGCGAAAAGAGAACATGCATCATCGCTTTTGGTAACCCGGGGACTGGTAAATTCCATGAAAGGAAAATCTCTTGCTACAACTGACACGGAATCGAGAGATGAGCTTCAAGATATGTTGAAACAGCGTGTTTTGGAATATAAAGAACAACAAGAGGAGATACTTAAAAAGGTTGACAAGAAGACTGCAAGGGTTTTGGAGCAGATTAGCGAACCAGGGAGCTCAAATTGGCTCTCATGTCTACCACTAAGAAAACATAGTTTCGTTCTAAATAAATCTGAATTTAGGGATTCTATCAGATTGCGATACAACTTAGATCTGGATCGTTTACCTTCACACTGTCCATGTGGAAAAACGTTTGATGTGAACCATTCTCTAAATTGCCATCTTGGTGGCTACATCATTATCAGACACAACGAGATTAGGGATTTTTTAGCTGGCTTGCTAAACACTGTTTGCTCGGACGTGGAACTTGAACCTCAGCTTCAAGAACTAGAAGGCGAGCAGTTCAAGAGGTCCTCAACACTAACGGGTGACCAGGCAAGACCCGATATTAGAGCTCGTGGTTTCTATAGGCCGGGCCAAGTGGCTTTTTTCGATGTTAAGGTAATTAATCCCAATTCTAATTCCTACCTTCAACATTCGACAAAAAAGACTATGGAGAATGCCGAGAAACAGAAATCACGATGCTACAACGAGAGAATACTTAATGTAGAGCACGGGTCATTCGCTCCATTAATTTATTCAGTAACAGGTGGCATGGGACCTCAAGCCAGGACATTTGAGAAACTGCTTTGCAACAAACTTGCTTATAAGAAGAAGCAGAATTACAACGATATTATAAATTTTTATCGGTGTAAATTATCATTTTTAATTAGGAAATTAATTTTATTGTGTATTAGAGGATCAAGAAATACCTCAAACAAAACTTACGAATTATCTAACATGGATGATTTAGAATTTAACTCTTTCGAATCGAAAGTCAACTAATTTTTTCAGTCCCATGGACTGGGTTTTATTTTTGCAATGATGATGTTCATAATATATAACCTGTAATACTATTCTGTATATATCTAATTTCGTTTTCCAAAAAAATTTCTCAAGATGTTCACTACATGATGTTGCTCTACCACTTTGACGTATGTCCCTTAAGCGCTTTTAACTACCGTTCACCGAACCTTGACTGCGGCTTTGTTAACAAGGTTTAGCCAGTACTATTGCTGTACAACTACTACAGAAGTAATCCCGACAACACTCGACCTCTGCCTGATCCAGAGGATGTCACCATTTTACCTTCACACAGACATCGAACGCTGTAAAAAGATGACAATCAGATCTCGTTAAAAGTTAAAAGAATCTGATAAGTACCAAAGCGTCCGGTAGCTCTTCTAGAGTGAGCCCAGTCACAGGTGATCCTATATCCGTCTATCTTCCGTCCATCCATATCACGTAGTGCATCTTCAGCTGAAAGAGTTTCTAAATTTAATACCTGTCAGAAAGACATGTGATGACGGTATTTAGTAAATGCTAAAATGTAACAACCCAGAGGCCAATGTTACCAGGAATGCAACAATTGAACATGTGCTGATCACATTATGAAGATGATGCCAGTAAGTTGGAACATGCTGTGATGGGAACTGTATGTGGAGAACATGTATTCAGATTTAGCAGCGTCACGTACCGTCTCTCATATGTTTGAATTCCACGAAACCGTAGCCATAAGGTGGCTTGCTGAGCCAGACGCTACGCACGGTGCCATAGTAAGCAAACTCTTTCTCTACCTTACGCTTATCCGGGTCCGCGCCCAGATTTGACAAATAGAGCGTAGCCATGCTATGAGATAAAATTACATTACGAAAGAAGATATCAGAACGGTATTACCTACCATCACGACTACTTTTAAACTGGACGAAGCCGTAACCGAAGGGGGGCTTGCTAAGCCAGACGTCGTCTAGTCGGCCGTAGTACGAGAATTCCTTCTCGACCTGCCGCTTGTCGGGGTCCGGGCCCAGGCCCGCAAGATACAGACGAGTTGTACTGGACATGTGTAGTACCGGGCTAAAAAAGTATACCTGTTTGTAATATAGCTCATCATAACCGCACAAATACCCGCCTATTCTCACATTGCCTCATAAATATCCGCATAACCCAGCATCTCATAATTATCCGCATAACCCCGCATAAATATCTCACGTTCCTGTGAACGGGTGAATAGAAATCAGCTATTTTGTTTGATCAATCGAATTATCTATAATTCTAAACCAAACTGATAGTGAAAGTAGATGAACAAAAAATAGGTGTTCATTGTTTATTGGTCAGTGACCCAATGGAATGAATAACAAACAATTTTACCTTTATCAGATCTGTATTAAAGTACAGGGAAAATCTGCCCTAAAACGATGGAAATACAGGGAACAAGGATTATACGAGGATACAAGAATTACCAAATAGAAATTTCTTTGAACTTGAATGATTAATTATTTCAATTCACAGCATGCTTGAGATTTGGGATTTAAACATTTAATTAAAATTGTCAAATGTTTGATAAAATATGATCAAATCAGCAATCTATTAAAAAATAAGGTTCAATTTTACTTGAAATAAACGAATCAGCTCTCAATGAAGGCCATGGGTGCAAAAGAGTTGAATCACTTGATAGAAATTATGGTCCATTGACCATAATTGATTATGGTCGGCTTCAATGAAACTCTTGGCACACCATTGTTTATAGACTTTTGGGATATAATAGAAAAAAACTGGCTTTTGTAAATTGTGAACGATTTCTTGCTACAACATTTTGTTAACAGTTACATTCTGGAGTAGACAATAGTGAAGGTCCCTGTTAAGTCTATTTTCGTAGTCTGCAAAGCTCTAGGTGGCAAGAACTTTTAGGCGCCAAATTCGGTTGAGGTTCTATAATACAGTTAACATTCTGATCCCAGAGTAAAACAAGTATGAGAAAATTTCACCCTGGGAACATTGTGGAAAATCCTCCAGAACGATTGTGGGGCGATGAAACAGCTACCACATTGGAAGGAGGACTGATGATTTTATTGAGTTTACAGAATAACATGAAAATGTGATTTGTATAGGCAGACTAAGAAACAGACTTAAAATTAATCTAGAGGAATTTAAGAAGACTAATAATTTAGTAGACACAGCTAGTTATGTCAGTAATAAAGAGAAACATAACAATTATCTTTGGTTTCATCCTTATGTGGCAAAAGAAGCGTTTCATAAATCTTTATTCCACTGGGAAGTTTGATTAGGTTTTTGAAATAGGATAATGTTTTGATAAAAATTTTTTAAATATTGTATACAATATATATTTGTTAGAGCTTTCACTGACGTTGAGGTGGAAAAACAAGCGAGTTTTGTAGCCACAATCGCCCCGGAATAAAGCAGTAAAGGATCACAAGATAGTTAAGTGTCATCAAACAAATGATACGACGTATTCCAGGGTGATCTGCTGAAGACTCAACTAAAATTAAATAAATAAAATAAAGTCAATTTTTACAGCACAGCAATATATATCTAAATATCAGATCCTCTGTAATCATAATGTATAAAAAAAGGAGCTTTTCTCTGTGCTGAAGGATGAATCAAGGCAGATCATGGTTTTGTTAGCAGGCCACCCTAGTTATGGACAATACATATATATAAAATAATTAAATTATAATTTTAAAATTGTGTCTAGTTTCGGCCTTTGAGGGCCATCCACAGGAGTGTCACCTCAAATTATTTGTTATATAGTAGTGTTGAAAGTATTTAAAGTATTAATACTTTCAACAGTTACTATATAACAAATAATTTGAGGTGACACTCCTGTGGATGGCCCTCAAAGGCCGAAACTAGTTGAGTCTTCAGCAGATCACCCTGGAATACGTCGTATCATTTGTTTGATGACACTAAACTATACAATATATATACAATATTTAAAAAAATATATGATAAATAATTAATGTTGGTGGGGAAATATTTATTATATACTTTTTCACATAGTGCAATGATATTTTGTAAACATGTGTAATGATGTGATGACTTAATTTTTACTCTTACTCTTACTCTTACAGGCAAATTTTGGGAAGTGTCAAATACAGTTTTAGCGAAGATCGAGGGTATATTATATCGAGAAGAAGAAGCAACAAGTTCAATATTTACATAAAAATCCGTGTGTTGCTCTTGAATTTTTTAAATTAACAGTTTTTTAACTTTTTACTCATTAATTTAATTTCTACTATATGTAAATAAGTTGCGACAATTATGTTAGAATTTGTTTGTTTTACTTTTTATGACAAAGGCTGTGAAATGTTTACAGTTCCGATAATGAAGAAATCAGAAAGAATTCTTATGTGTTGGTTCAGCCGAATTAATTATTATGTAATCAAGTTCATTTTACTTTTTTAGTTAGTTGTCATCCGAGGCCGACCAAACATTAAGCAACTTATATTGCAGTACCATTTATCAATTAGTATATCAAAATATGTCATTGTAATTTTGCATGGCTGAAATGTAATAATTAATTGAATTTTCAAATTTAAAAAAATAAAACTAGTGATGATGTTTATGTCATTATTCTTTATCTAATCTAATCTAAAACAATATAAAAGTTCACATAGCCATGAGTCTACGCGTACTGCGTGACACGCTTGTTTCACAAGTAAGATAGATCCTGTGCCTTCGGCGATCGCACTACTGCAAGCGAGAGGGCTCTAGTTAGGGCAAATATAAAAGCTTTCTACCATATGTAAATAAGTTGATATAACAATTATGTTCAAATTTGTTTGTTTTTAACGACGAAGGCTGTGAAATTTTCACAGTCCTGATAAAGAAAGAAATAAGGACATCATACAATTTGTGATGATGTTATGTCATTATTTTTAATCTAATCTACTTTTTATGCCAAGAAAACAACAAATTTTTTTCAAGAAAACAACAAATTTTTATTTAAATCAATTATAGCAACAATTTGAAAAACTTTAAAGCTCTTCTATTACCATGGAATATACTACGGGTATGGTGACTTGGGCTATTGAGTTGTTAAGTAGATTAAGATTAGTAAACCTGCACTTGCATTGTATATTTTATAAAAACTAGAAATTAGGCTTCACGGTAAAATGGAGAAGCAGGCTGATCTTGGAGAGAGCAGACCGTAAAGTTTACGCACCCACCAGGGCTACCTACCTACCCCAGTTGTTCTTTTTGGTTTATCAGCTTGTATTGTTATATTTATGGACCCCAAGTCACCACACTAAGAAGGAGTATGTAAAAAAAATAATAATAATAAATTAAGTTAATATCATCATATCTGTTTAAAACAGTAAAAGTCAAGTTGAGGATTGACTTTCCTAGTTAATTTAAAGGTTCAAACGTTTGGGAATATAATAATGTTGGTATTAGTATCTGCTGCAGCAATAATATCGAAATATCATTTGTCTAGAAAATTTTGGCCACTTCAATAGATATTGGGTCGGCAATTTGGTGAGTGAGTGATGAAATGGTTTGGTCTGTGACTGAGTGAGGGGCGATGTGAAAGTTGTGGTAAGTCCAGGTGTTATCATTGTTGATGGATTGAGATCCCAGGATGATACTTAGGTCGATCCTACTTCTTATACATATTCAAATAAGAAAAAAGATAAAACAAGACAACAAAAGAAAATACAACACATTTAGGTCACTGTACTGGACCAATTTTCCATTTAACCGAAACTGTTGTTTATCTTGGTACCACTAAAATGTAGCTTGCTGTCATTTCAATGATAATGTAGAGCATGAATATTGAATAACAACGTGAGTATACACTGCTTATTGGTCTAATTGAGCTAATTAATATGATACAATGTTTATTGCAAACAGAGTTTTCTTTCAGAAGTTTTTGCCTTGAAGAGATTAAAGTAATGTTTTAACATTTGAGCTTTCATTCAGAAATTGCAAAAATCCAAAAATTTGTGATCCTTAATCTTAAAACACCAAAACTTTATTTTGCGATTCAGGCCGATTCCGGCCGAAAAGATAGGGCCTGTCGTGATATCATGGATCGCTTAGGTTCCACCAGGATCTGGTAGTCCTCATAATTCTGCGGCCTCTATGTATCGTCATCTTGTACAACTCTTTAAGAATCTTAGGGATTTGGCATGTGAAAATTTGCAGCCTTCCAGACATTGATTGGGTTAACGAGGTGTCGTACGTCACCTCAAGATCGGGTGACAGGGGCTGACCAGGCCAGAACCCAATTGATTGGGTCTGAGGTCACGTGATTATGAGCCTGAGGTCACGTGACTATGACGTCACCAGACCTTGTTCTCCGTTTCCCGCTCATTGGACCAGGTGAGCTTGCATGCTTGTGAATGTGGGTGTAAGTACAGCTGTACTGTAGTTTATACCTAATTAACCCCTATAGAAACCGAAAATTTATTTTCTGGCAGAAAGCTAGAAATTTACCAAAATATCGACATTGTTATAAATTTATTTTGATAAATAAATAAATAAATAAATAAATATTTATATTTGATGACCATTCCTGACCTAAAATTGCACGAGAAATCGATTAAACTTGGTTTCAGGACTCAACAATGCTTCTTTATGCCTTAAAATCCATGTTTTATCGATACAATCAACATTATGATCCCGTTGATTAATTAGTAACAGGTACCTAACAAATACGCAGAAACAACTATCACACCTACATTGCATTCCTAACGGGTCGATTTCGAGTGACCAATAATCGTCGTGATGATACGTCATGTGTTCCTGATCATCATCAGCAATCAAGAGACAGGAGCGGCGGTAGCTTTAAATCAATGGTTTACGTTATTTTTGTGAATTCGACCCCTGTTGAAACAGTTATCTCACTTTGTAACTGCATATGTATCGAGGATAGCTTTACAAATAAGAGTATCAGTAAATAAAATTGCCACAAGTGTTTCTTTCACTCACTTTCGATAAGACACATTGCATGGTCATTAACCGTGCTACCCATTTCTGCAGATAGCCTGTTACAAATCAAAAGTTACAAGTTTTGTCCGTTTTTGTCCGTTTTTGTCCGCTCGGTACCCTATTATCTGAAAACGGACAAAATCGAACGGACAAAAACGGACAAAAACAACATGAGCCCCCCCCTCCTCCCTTGTACATTATTACAATGTGGGTGTGTACAGTGTAGTGTATTTTGTACTTTACAGACAGTCGATTGTCTACATTAAACTACCTTACACCCCGACATACTTCACATCATTATTCCTATTTAATATTTATAACCGCTGCATACCAAGTATTTCATGTTCATTTCATGTATTCGTAACATTATCACGAATTTTGACATAAATATAATATTGTAACTACATTGAACAGTTATCTTTGCCTAAAAAGAGCAGTTCCCCGTCCTTTTTACAGATTCATCATAACAATATTACGACGCATAAATAAATTTACTGTCCGGAAATTACTTAAATATAGAATGGGAGTGAGTATTACAAACCTCGGGTCAGTTAGTTCGAGTAATAAAAGTTTCCAAGGACCGTGAATCAGTAGAATAAGCATCAGTAGAATAAGCATTTTTAGTCATTGGTCATGCAACTTGAACGTGAGTAATTATAGAAAGTGTTTTATTTACATTGTAGATATAAATGATCAAAACTAATAATTGGTTAGACAACTTTGCATGTAGTTAAAATGTAATTTTCAGCGTTGACAAGCTTGAAAATTATTGTGTTCGATTAACCGTTCAAAGGTTGATAAGTGTGATTAAATTTTATAAAATTCCGATATACTTCGGCGTTTAAAAAAATTCCGAATCTTATGGAAGTAAGAATTTCCAACGTGTCTTATCGAAAGTGAGTGAAAGAAACACTTGTGGCAATTTTATTTACTGATACTCTTATTTGTAAAGCTATCCTCGATACATATGCAGTTACAAAGTGAGATAACTGTTTCAACAGGGGTCGAATTCACAAAAATAACGTAAACCATTGATTTAAAGCTACCGCCGCTCCTGTCTCTTGATTGCTTTTTGATTGAAATAAATTTTCGTGCACATACAGAATGAATGGTTAATAATTTAATATATATGTAGACCAAGGTCTGTGCACGGGATGCTTCCTGGAAGAATCCAGTTCTTTTAGCGGGGCACCCTACCTAAAGCCAAATTGAGATATAATAATCATATTCCTAAGAAATAATCAGAAATCGAATACCAATCAAATAATATGATATATATGAGTAGTAACCATATTTACTATGCAAAATGCCCCAACCACATAGTGTAAATTTATATAGAATTCAAATTCCATATCATCATTAAACCTCAATACCTAGTCAATATAATAGCCCAAGCAAAATTAAATAACTTCTTATATACCTTACTGTCATACTACAAATTAATTAAACATTTGAAATCTGTTGACCAGAGAATAAATTCTAAGCCTAATGCTGATGATGATCAGGAACACATGACGTATCATCACGACGATTATTGGTCACTCGAAATCGACCCGTTAGGAATGCAATGTAGGTGTGATAGTTGTTTCTGCGTATTTGTTAGGTACCTGTTACTAATTAATCAACGGGATCATAATGTTGATTGTATCGATAAAACATGGATTTTAAGGCATAAAGAAGCATTGTTGAGTCCTGAAACCAAGTTTAATCGATTTCTCGTGCAATTTTAGGTCAGGAATGGTCATCAAAATAAATTTATAACAATGTCGATATTTTGGTAAATTTCTAGCTTTCTGCCAGAAAATAAATTTTCGGTTTCTATAGGGGTTAATTAGGTATAAACTACAGTACAGCTGTACTTACACCCACATTCACAAGCATGCAAGCTCACCTGGTCCAATGAGCGGGAAACGGAGAACAAGGTCTGGTGACGTCATAGTCACGTGACCTCAGGCTCATAATCACGTGACCTCAGACCCAATCAATTGGGTTCTGGCCTGGTCAGCCCCTGTCACCCGATCTTGAGGTGACGTACGACACCTCGTTAACCCAATCAATGTCTGGAAGGCTGCAAATTTTCACATGCCAAATCCCTAAGATTCTTAAAGAGTTGTACGAGATGACGATACATAGAGGCCGCAGAATTATGAGGACTACCAGATCCTGGTGGAACCTAAGCGATCCATGATATCACGACAGGCCCTACCGAAAAGAGTAGAATTTTTGCCTTCTTTAGAGCCCGGTCGCATACCACAGGGTGCCATAGTGCAATGAAACTGCTGCTGACTGCTGCTGACTGCTGCTAACTGCTGCTGACTGCTGCTAACTGCTGCTAACTACTGCTAATTGCTGCCATGCTAACGGCGCGCGCGACAGCGGCAGTTAGCAGCAGTTAGTAAAACAAATTTTAGTGAAACAAATTTAAAATTTTATCCTTTATTTTACAATCATAATATAGTAATATTTATAAGCCTCCGTTTTGAAAGTTTTAAATTTTAATATATGCACATTTTTATTTAAAATTCAATTTTATGTATAAATCAATAACTGGCCGCCAAAGCCGCGCATTCATGAAAACAGGATTAACTTGTTTATAAGAAAACAACAATTTTTCAAAAAAAGAATACATTATAGTTGGAGGACTTCGACGCTTCGATGCGCCGCGCAAACTTTCATTCTTTCTTCGCAGAGCAACGATCTGAAAGGGTTGACATCGTCAATCAAACATTATAGTTATACAACAAAGTAAATTTAAAACTATCCGAAGTTTTTTAAATAAATTATCATCTTACCTAAATCCAAAGCCAGCTTTGTAAAATTTATTTTTAGATCATAATATATCGTCAATTTTAAATATTTACAATTGACAATGCAATTCAACATTTCATTAATCTATTGACCATTGTTAATGGTCTGGCCCGGCGCGCGCTACTTCGTAGCACTTGCCATCGGCTCAAGCCGCGCACGCACGTATTATTTTATACTTTTTGCTTTCTAATAAATATCGTGTCAATGTGTACGTCTAAATGTTCATGTTTGTGTAAACTGAATCGAATTGAGACTATAGTCAATAGTGACAAGGATAAGGACCCAAGTGCATGTACGGCTTTTTCGGATCCCTGTGGACCATTAATTGACGATGTCAATTCATGGCAGCTCGACGCGGCACAGTAACGCATTTCGCCGATCTAGCCAGGATCGCTGTGAGAATGGAGAAGCCTCATTGAGTGCGCGGCGCGGCACCGAAACGCATCGCGCTACAATGTGGACCACTACCAACTACTTTTTGCTTTTGAAAATGCTCTACAACTATTGAATATTTATAACTGTTATATAATATATAACGTCATCTGACAATCATTATCATTAGTCTACAATCTAACTGTTTTGCTGAGGGGGAGTATTAAATGCTTTACATTAAAATATTTACAACATACAAAATCTAAAATCATCAACACGGTTAGACTTAGTTAATATCATGGACAATTTGATATACATCTATTTCGTTGTAATATCTTCACATTTGCTTTATCTTATTATTATAATTAAGTACAGTAGGATACATTTCGAGAAAGAAAGGTTGGTCCGATTATATTATATTAACAAAAGTCACGTCCATCAGGGATTCTGTGGAGTCGAAAAAGGTACACGGCCGCTGTCTGGTGCTGCTGGCTCGATCTTACTAATTCGCTCGCCCAAAAATTTGGTGGTTTTCGCCACCAGCCACGATACGTCGTTACCCGGGGACCCCAGGCTATTATGTTCATTAACATAGAATAGAGATTAGGCGGAATGACAGGCTGAGCGCGGCCCAGTAAGATACGTCGATACTTAGTGAAACGACAATGCACAATGGGGGTCACGACGTGATACAACACACGTGCGTATGCATATGCCGCGCAGCGCACATCTATTGATCGAGTACATTGAACTCACATAATCCGTCCTTGGTTTTGTTTGTGGTTTTGTTGCGCGTGCGATTAACCATTAACTACATTGTTAATTGTACATAATATTTACACTGTGCTGTACTGTAGAATAAATGTTATTCTCGATACATTATTCTTAGTATCATTTGTTTAGTTCCTTCAAAAATCAAATGACCCTTGAAAATCGGTCAAATTGGTGGACAATCTTCACTGGCCCAAATAATGGCGCCAATGATTGTTAATTACTTGTTCATGTCTCCACAAAATGGGTTCAAGCGGCCGGCGTTAATGGATATTGGATACGCCGAATTGGAGCTAAATAAGTAATCTTTCAAGAATTAAGATGTGGTTAACAAGTGTATGACGTCATTACTAACAACGTATGACGTCATACACGTGTGCTGGAGCCTACACGACCAGATCACCACAGCACACAGGTTTAAAGGGGGTACATGACATCATAAGAGCATAAGACTGGCCGTTGTCCTGATCCTTATTACTTTATTACTGTCTATTACACCATCGCGTTACAAATGTAACACGATACCTTTATTGATACTCCTTTATTCTTAGTAATCGGGGGTTATTTCTTACGCTTCGTTTTTAGTTCCGGGTTCATTGTGGGTTGTGAGGCACTCCGATAATGTTACTTTAGTGTTCAGTTCATTTTTTGTCTTGAATAGTATTGAGTATCATGGGCAGCCGCATTCCTTTGTGGAGGACGGCCCGTTGTCATGTATATTGACTGCTGTTATATATTAAACATCTGGAGCATATTCTATTACTTGTGAGTCATAACAGTTAACACTGGTGATTACTTGTGTAAAGTGTTACAGGCTGTGAGGCCGTCCTTTTGTAAGTCTCATACCTACACGCATACCCACACTATATGACGTGTAGATGTGTGTTATCTTCCGTCAATCACTTAGATACACACAACACACACTTCAGACACAAAATAATCGAATTTGTTTCCTCCCCACACGATTGCAGGTCCCCCTCCGGACACACACACATCCCGCTTATAACATCATCATTCCATATAAGGAATAATGAGGACCGTTGCTTCTTATAATGCCTGTTCTACCGTTATTCTTTGAACATGAGCCTCACATATGTGTACATTGTGTGTTTTGGTTGTGGACTCTTCTTGCATGTGCTCTCTCTCTCACACGATCAAGGTACACACTTTCCGTTCGTACACACTTTGTGTAGAAACTTGGTTCCGGTGTGATGTTTGTTTTGGCGGGAGAGAGAGAGAGAGAGAGCGGTGATTTTCAGTTATTTCGCTACATGTTAGTTTTGTAGTACATGCTCTTGCTCTCACGTGTAGTCGAATAGGCTCCGTAGTTATCTTATGTTACATAACGTTTAGTTTACTACCACTGAACTGAGTGGTCTGTAACTGTTTGTTACATTACTTATAAACCTTGAGGCTGAACTGAGATTTCTTCGTTTGTTTGAGATGTAGGTCGGTTCATAAACTAGTTGTGACTGTTTAGATTGGATTAGCAGCTCGCTGTCCTCATTTTAAACTTTCGTCTGTATGATCAGCTAGCTTTATTTGTCCATGATCAGTCCAAAGGGCCACCTTTTTCCATAGCAATCATGTTGAGTAATGAGAGTAGGTATCATTATTAGCTATGTAATATGGAATGTGAGGTATCCACATCATAATGTTAATCGTATCAATATTCAATACTAGTCCCTCGGTCACAGTAATTTATGGACAGATCCCCCCTATCTGATTTGTTGACTAAACGTGTACACTCTACACTCACAGAGCAAATCCTCCAGAGCTTTAGTCCAAATCACACAATTACCCACACAAATATTTTTTGTGCTTGGTATGTGAATTTTGTTAGCGGCCCCTAATCAGATTTCAAGGATCGTGTAGTAGGGAAATTGGAGCATGGGTGTGTATAAACTATTTTATTTTTAGAATCTATAATTTTGGAAACTATAATAATAAAAATTAGATCTAGTTCGATTCAAGTATAGTTCTACACTAACCCTAGTTTCATTGTTCCTTTAGGAAAACCTTTTTTTGAATTAACTATGTTAAGATTTATCGCAAATTCTTTTGTTGTACAATTACTACATTGTTTCTTTTTTCTTCGCCAAAAGTGAAATTATTAAATTGTGTCTCACACATTGTAGCCACATCTGCAATAACATGACCTCATTTTGCCTGTACTACCATACTTATTGCTGCACACCGTGATATTACTGTCTCACAGTGAGCACTGCCTCCCCCAACACAGTGAGCACTGCCTCCCCCAACCCAGTGAGCACTGCCTCCCCCAACCCAGTGAGCACTGCCTCCCCCAACACAGTGAGCACTGCCTCCCCCAACCCAGTGAACACTGCCTCCCCCAACCCAGTGAGCACTGCCTCCCCCAACACAGTGAGCACTGCCTCCCCCAACCCAGTGAGCACTGCCTCCCCCAACCCAGTGAGCACTGCCTCCCCCAACACAGTGAGCACTGCCTCCCCCAACCCAGTGAGCACTGCCTCCCCCAACCCAGTGAGCACTGCCTCCCCCTACACAGTGAGCACTGCCTCCCCCAACCCAGTGAGCACTGCCTCCCCCAACCCAGTGAGCACTGCCTCCCCCAACCCAGTGAGCACTGCCTCCCCCAACCCAGTGAGCACTGCCTCCCCCAACCCAGTGAACACTGCCTCCCCCTACCCAGTGAGCACTGCCTCCCCCAACACAGTGAGCACTGCCTCCCCCAACCCAGTGAGCACTGCCTCCCCCAACCCAGTGAGCACTGCCTCCCCCAACCCAGTGAGCACTGCCTCCCCTAACCCAGTGAGCACTGCCTCTACTGTTATTTCGCACCTACCTCAATATTACATTATAACCTGGTCCCAGTAAATGTTAACTGTAGGGTCAGCTTTCACCCTGGAGCTGGCCCTAAGGTAACCTGATACATGTAACGGTCTGATGAGCAGTGTTTAGTTGTACCCCCTCCTCCATCCTGAATATGAGGGGGCTGTACATATACAATTTTTGGGGGTTTTAGGGAAATGCCCCCTTCTGGTCCCCGAATATCGAGCAGATACAAGTGTCCGCAGATCAGCTATTCCCTAGAGAATCGCAGAGCGTACGCTCTGAAATTCCCATCTCACTCAAATAAACATATCATGACTGCTTGACAGGTTGCACCATTCGATTTGAAACTGTCTCAATTTACTAATAAGATCTCACTTTCGCTTTAGAATAGGATCAGATTACTAACTATGAAAAGCAGTTAGTTATCTTGAGACTTGAATCCACCCTCGTATGTACGGTAGCCTAGTGTGTTGTATGATGGGATATAATTAATAAAGCAAAGTTGTTGATCATCTTTCCAAGTGTGTACGAGATATGATCAATGTTGTCAGTATGGCTCTGTCTGTCCAGAGATTTGATTACCATGTGATTGCCGCTTTACTTAACACACAGCCGTTGTTACCGGCTTTACACTGAAGTAAAGTAAAATCTCACTCTCAGAATCTCACTCATAGTTACTTAGTTACACTGTGTGTTACTGTGTAGTTACACGTAACACTGTTACTGTGTCTCGTGATTCTGGCAGTTAACCCATTAGGGACGACGAGTTTTAAAGTTTGCCGATTTTAATGCCATTTCACACACAAGGTCACTTTACAGCAAAAATGAGATATCCAAAAAAGCTAATCTGTATCTTCGTTACTTTCATAGATATAGCGATGGTCGCATGCGACCCACTCGTCCGGGTCGCAAACGACCCACTTTGTTTTTCGTATATTACTCGTGAAACAAAGCCGTAAGGAACAAATAAATGATATAGAATACATTAAGAACATATAGTTAATACTGTGCGATTCAAAATATTGAAAATTACTGAAATTGGGTCATTAATGACCCACTCGGCACACTTGCTAATCTTTATAAATTATCTTGTAACTGCTTGCATACAGTCTAAAAAAGGAAACAAAAGTACCGAATCGCTTCTTAGCGAGTGATTATCATACTTAGACAACCAGAAATTAAAAAAAATCAATTACATATGGGTCATTAACGACCCACTCGGACAAAGTCAAGAAATTGATAAGAAAAAATGTTATGAAACGTTCGCAAATGTCAAATAGTAATACTAGAATAAAAACTTGTTATTAAAATTTAACAAAATATGTAAACTGGGTTAATAACAACACACTCGGAAGTCGGACCATAATTTTAACCAGTCTCATACTGATCCACAACCATGGAATGCTGCAAAACAGTTTGAATACAACTTCACTGCACACTTCGAACATTCGTAGATGGTCTTACTCTTGCATAGACCACATCTCGTTCTCTTCCCTATCGTTCTTTTTATCACGTGACCTATCCCGTCGTAACGCACACTTTCTGGGGGTCTTTGAATTAAATAATAGTCAATTAAACATAACAAGCAATGTACTATTAATCGGAAATGTTAAACAAATTTGTAAAGGACCAACACTTATTGTTTAATGGAGACCCACCAGGAACCCGAGCTGCAACTCCTTTACAGGGGTACAAGTTGTTCGTCTTTCCGCGTTTCCTTGTCGTCTTGTACAAGGTCAGGTAGGGACAGACGATGCTTCTGATGAAGTCGAGGAATGTGTTGCTGGCGCTAGAATCAGCATACCTGCTCAGCTTCCAGGCATTATACGTGGAAACTTGCAGAATGTACGAGAAGAGTGGCCAATACCATTTCCGGTTCCGTATGACAGGTCTGTAAACATTTATTGCCTGATCCATGTTATCAGTTCCCCCCATGTGTGTGTTATAGGATGTGATGGATTTAGGTCGGGGAACAGAAATCCTCTCCTTCTTCTCGGCAGACCATCTTTGACAGGTATCGGCAGGGGTGTCACAGTCAAAGTTTGAACCGATGATCACTTGTTTATTGTCCTGCCACTTGGTGAGTTGAATATTCAGGTCCGTGTGTACAAAAGACTTGAATATACCTCTCCCAGCCTTCACCATCTCGTTATCGGTTGGAAAAGGGCAGAACTGAATCATTTTCCTACTAAATGTTCCAGTGCATCCTATACCTTCTTGTCCGAGATGATACAACAACTTCGTTGAAGTAAAAAAGTTGTCAAGGTACACTTCGTAGTTTCCCTTGGGGAGATCATCCATTAGCCCGAGAACAACTCCAGGTCCATGGCCAAATGCCACCTGGTAATCGGACTGACTCCCCTTTCCTTGGTATATCTCGCAGTTATACATATACCCGTTGTCTAGGTTGAGAGACCACACTTTGTACCCACTTCTTATCGGTTTCATTGGCATGCGTTGCTTTAGGGCATTGCCAGACTTTCCGAAGTATTGCACCATTGATTCGTCTACATTGAAACATTTGGTGAGGACAGCGTTCTTCTGGAACCTTGACAGTAACATATTGTAAATAGGCCGGATCTTCCAACATCTGTCTGTTGTCGAACCATCAAGGACTGCATTGTCACAAAAGTGAATATACCGCAGCAGGTCCAAAAACCTATCCCGCCTCATAGCATCGGACACTAGGTTGTTGTGAACATCTTGTGTTTGCTCCCAGTACATTTTCATTCTTGGAAGTTGGTTGTACCCACTGAGGAGCAGTATCCCAAAGAAGCACCGCATTTCCTCGATACCCACATCATTCCACCTGTCTGCACCTTTCTGAAGAGCGTAACGATTAGTTTGTTGACAAATGAATGTGACAACGTTTTCGTCGAAGAACAGCTCAAACAGCTCGATGGGACTGAGTGTTGCCAGGGACAGTGGATCCTGATTTGTCGTTGGACATTCGAATTCTGCTATCTTGCAGAGCAGCTCTGAATTTTCGAACTCATAGGACTCTTTCCACTTGTTCCTTTTTTGCTGTCGCTCCAGTTCTGCTTTTTCTGCGGCCCTTTTCTTTCTCTCAGCAACAGCTCGAGCAACAGCTTCCGGAGTTTTAGGAGCCTTCCCCTTTCTCTTCGGTTGACTTCGCTCTGTCGGCTCTGTTGGCTCTGTTGGCTCTGTCACCTCCTCGATGATCGTGTCAATCTCTTCTTCCACAACGTTGGTCAGCCGCAGTTCTTCATCTTCGGGCGTTAAAATTACAAGTTCAAATCCAGCCTCGAGCTGACAAGTGTTCATATTATCGATACCCCCGCCGTTTGATTCTTCATCACCTGAGTCCTCGTCTGTCAGCTCTGCGATCGCAGGAGGGCAGATGAATAACTGTGCTGAGCTCCAATGGTTTTCTTCAAGGTAGTTTACGGCATCGTTTACTTTATCTCCTCTGGTCTTCCTGGGTCTCTTGCTAGGTATTGGCGAAAACGCTGGCTCAAGTTTAGCTCTCTTCTTATTCCTGGCGCTGACTCTACTAATTGGTGGTAATGAAACAGTAGACACTGAGGGGGGATCAGACATAGAGCAAGTAGCTGTCTTTCCTGCAGCAACTCTAGGCGACTTTCTCGACATGCTGTTCACTAACCGGATAATACCTGAAGGTTAGTTCTATTAAGGTCAAGGATCGAAATATATATATAAGGCAAGAGTCAAACCAATAATATGGGAACAAGCCAAAGTTATTTATTAACAGTGCTACTGCAAACAAAGCCGTTATATATTTTCAAGGCCTACCTGGTGGATAAGGGGTAGTAGTGTAGTGAACTGTACTTTCTGTCATTACCGTCTCCTCCAACATCACCTGGACTGTACTCTCTGTCTGCTCCTCATCTCCTATCACCTTGACTGTACTGTCTGTCTGCTCCTCATTTCCTATAACCTTGACTGTACTGTCTGTCTGCTCCTCATCTCCTATAACCTGGACTGTACTCTCTGTCTGCTCCTCCTCTCCTATAACCTTGACTGTACTGTCTGTCTGCTCCTCATCTCCTATAACCTGGACTGTACTGTCTGTCTGCTCCTCCTCTCCTATAACCTTGACTGTACTGTCTGTCTGCTCCTCATCTTCTATAACCTTGACTGTACTGTCTGTCTGCTCCTCATCTCCTATAACCTGGACTGTACTCTCTGTCTGCTCCTCATCTCCTATAACCTGGACTGTACTCTCTGTCTGCTCCTCATCTCCTATAACCTGGACTGTACTGTCTGTCTGCTCCTCCTCTCCTATAACCTGGACTGTACTCTCTGTCTGCTCCTCCTCTCCTATAACCTTGACTGTACTGTCTGTCTGCTCCTCATCTCTTATCACTTTGACTGTACTTTCTGCCTGCTCCTCATCTCCTATAACCTTGACTGTAGTCTTCGTAGATTCAACAGTTACTGCATCAATCGTACCGGTCAAACTTTTCGAAAGATCTGCTACCGGAATGCCAACCCCTTTGCCATCCACATCGAATTTTACGTATGCTCTTCCATTTGATTTTGATATTGTGATGATACTTCCCCATAGCACAAGAATATCACAGGATAACGTGGCTGAGTAACTGGTTTCTTCACGATCGAAATAGTCTCGGGGAACTGATACCCTATCTCCTGGCTTAACAACCGTTCCTTCCTTATCCTTGTGTCCTCTGCGTCTTTTAGACATAATCTAAAGATAACTATCAAAATATATCACATTATTACGCCCTAATAACGCATTAAACGGAAAACAGACGTTTCTAGACTCATGTACTTCACTTATGATACCGATACGATTTTGAAAATAACGAGAAATATTTTAAATTTATCAGGCTTGTAGTTGTAAATATTTGCCGAGCGCTCTCGCGGGGGCCATAACCCCCTGTACTTTTTCTGAGATCCAACCCCAGCTTAAGGATTTGTATAAATGATAATGCAAAGAGAGAAACATTAACTTGAACCTACAGTACAAGCTCAGGAACTAATGTACACAGAACGGTATCTCCCTGATAATCTGTTAAAGATTCAGAGATAAGAGATAT